AAATGACAAGCAAAATTTTCTTTTTTGCAGTGAATCAATATTCATTATTTTAAAAAATTTGATTTCGTTTTTTTTATATGTTCATTCTCTTCTGACTATTATTTACTCTTCCGTCCTCTATATGCGCACTAATTGAGTACTATTCATTTATGTGAAAACAAAAATACTAACATTATATTTAAGATTAATCGAATACTTTCTCTTTTCGTTGATAACTGCACATGATATTTAATGTATTTCTCTTTGTTTTCTTTTTCTTCTTTTTTGTACAAATATTTTTTTTTTGCAAAAAAATATAAGACAGATCATATCGCAATTGAGCGACATGGAACGATATGTATATATACGGATTTATGATGGTAAAAAGAAATTCGAAGATTTAGACTATGAATTATTTTTTTCAATTATTGAGTTAAGTCATATTGCAATCACTACTAACATCGGTAATGCTAAGTAACCCGGAAAGGTTTTATTAATGATAAAAGACATAGCAAGTAAAAAGTGTAGAAATATTAGAGACAATCTGATGAACTTATTTCTTTGAAGTCACCAGAAGCGAGAAGCTCGACACGATCGATGTCAACGTTGTAGCAGGGTGCGAGTGGGTGATGGACGTATAGATATGGATTGCTCTTCTTCCACATCAACATCCTTACCCACACCCGCACCACAAAACCTTTCGAGGTGATTTATTTCTATTCCGGATTACTTGACATATTTCTAACACCTACGGTTACAACTAGTGTATGGCTGTTTATTCTATTATAGCAGCAGTATTATAAAGATCTTGAGTTATTTTTATATGCTCTAACATTCTTTGCTGTATCTCTATTTTCTTTATCATTATTTTGATACAACAATGTATCAATTTCAAGGATATTTTCCTTATGTTACTACACGTCAAGCTGTCGTGAGACTAACTCATATTGAATATCCAAGGTTCATATATTAGTTATGTGTCCTTGCCTTTCACAAATCTTCTAACTATAGATATGTCAAATACTAATTTATGTATTTTATTTTATATATAGAATAATAATGAATTGTCAATTATTTTTTTTATGTTTGTAATAATAATGCAACACCAGCAAGTACCCATTTCGATGGTTTTTCTTTTGTTTTTAAATTAAAACGCCAAATATATGTATGTCCTCGTGTTTTAATTCGATATACTGGACAATCATAAGTACCTTTCGTATCTAATCGATCGATAGGTATAGCTAGAAGAATAATTATTTCTTGATTTTAAAATTTTATTTTAAAAAATAAATATACCTTTAACAAATATAACTGGCATTGGTGGACATAATTCTTTTAATTTTCCTTCTACTAATAAATTACTTTGTTTATCCCATCGTGCTCCATCGATAAATAAACTAATGTATAACAAAAAACAGAAATATTCTATAATAATTGATTAAAAATTTGTTTACTTATGAATATAAGCACCATCTTTTGGTGAACTTTGTAATTCTTCTTTTTGTTTTTTCGTAACTTCAACCATAAGACACATACGATCTAATGGCCAGTCTTGTTTTCGTGAAATTGCTTGCATAATTGAAGTAAGAAATGATTGAGGATTAAAAAGACCACCTAACCATACAGAATTTGGTAGTTGAAAATCTACTATCCAATTATCTATTTCACGATAACGATTTAACATATCATGAAACCATAGTCCTAATGAATAAAGTGATGGATAAGCTCGATTAGCCCATTGAATAGGTACAAGATCAAGATAAAAACATTCTTGTAAAATTTCAATTTCATTTGATATGGCTAATTCACCCTAGATTATAAATATGATTTAAAGAATATAAAAGAAATTCAACAAACTTTAAGACCACCATCTAATTCTTTAAGACTTTGTCGTATTTCACGTAATAAATTATTCATTCTTTCGGCTTCTTGTAATGCAACAACAGCATATGGATTACGTTCATCAAGTCTTGCACGTAATTCAACTATATTAAAATCTTCCGGTATATGATTTTGAAATTCTTCAAGAACAGTTCGAATCTAATTAATATATATATATATATATATATAGATTTGTTTTTGACTACAAATATTTATACTTTTTCATCGCGTGATAATGTTGTATTTTGTCCATGGTTTATAGAATTTGTATCTCTTGGTGAAATTTCAATAAGTATACGAAAAAGTTTTTCACTTGTTTGTGAAAGAAAATCAATTTCAGCATTTGGATGAAGTCCATAAAGTTTCGGTGATTCACTTGGAAGTTTATCATCAATATAAGCATGATATGCTTTATAATCTAAGGGTGGTGGTAATGGAAAATCTGGTGCCAAATTGAGATCACCTTCGAACATTGTAGCATTCAAATATGTTTGAAGATAATTACGACATAAACGACGATCCCAATCATCAGTTATATGTCCACCATACATAATTTCACCAAATATATAACGAAGATCTTCCCAAGGAATTTTAACATTCGACTCAAGATAATTACGTAAAACATCAATACATATTTGTAAATCACCGGATGAAAAGGGATATTTTCTATTGAATAGAGAGATTTTAGTTTTTTAAGAATTAAAAATTCCGTCTTCTTTTTTACCTATTCCAGCCAATGGGTCCAAATTTTGTTCGTTGAGATACAACAGCATGAAAATAACATAGAGCAAAAAGAATAACTTTAAATTGAGTATCTTTACTACATGAATCTAAAACTTCTTGATCGAAATTATCCAATGCTTTATGAAGATTAGCTAACATTCCTGTATGTGATTCATTTGTAATTTTAATTGAATTTTCTAATATTCCTTGTGGAATTACATGTGTATTCATATCTGCACTTGGTTCAGCAGATATAAAAAGACGAAAATTTTCTTGTGCATTTTCTAATATTCGTTCTAATTTTCTTTCTAATATTGGTAACCAATGCCGTACTAAATGTATATTTTGTAAAACAATCCAATGACCTTCTTTAGCTGAGATTTCTAAAGCATTTTCAGCAATTATTTCTTGTCCTTGTCCTAATGATATATTATGAAATTTTCCAGCTTGTAATGTATAACCGAATTTTTTGCCTAATGTTTCAACTTCTTTTAATGGATCAACACCAGGTGAAAGAATGAAAAAAATAGGAATCGATTTGGTTGATTCATCATAAATATGTGCAAAGTCTGATGATCGACTTTCAATATATTTTTTACCAAGTTTTTCACCAACAAATAATCTTTAGAAAATAGATTACGATCAGTTAGTAAACAAAAAATGAATATTTTACTTTAATGCATAAAGCATTCGATCAGGTCGAACAGCATGAAGAATACATAATTGTTGCATAGTTGATTTACTTTTCCATTCACCCTAATAAGAAAGTATATTAAGAATGAAATAATAATTATTTTGAATTTATTTACTGGAGGTTTTTCTAATTCTGGTGCTTCACTTTCAACATATTTTTTCCATCGTTTACTTGAAGTTTCAATTTCACGATCAAGACCATGAAAACTTGATACTAATGATAATGCTTTGATACTACCCCAAGCTTTTTTATTAAGAAATTCCACAGGACTTCCTGCATGTGTTTCTTGTGGATTACGTAATAATAAATCAAGTTCAATCATATCAATTTCACCTTTTTCCATCAAAATCTATTATAATAAATAAAACCTAGACTCCTATTGATCAAAGTAAAGAGTCTCGGATTTAGGACAGTTGCCCGCAAGACACTTGCTCGTCGAACATTTGCTCGTGTGGAGGGTGTGGGTGGGCGGGTGTGGTATAAAGATAATGTACACATCCACACCTACGCCCACACCCACACCAACCCTCAAGATGCGAAATTCTGGCAAACTGCACTAGCATACCAAGGACTCGTTTTGTTAGTAAGTACTTTACAGTATTCTATTATTAACCTGTAATAATAATTGCATAGTAAAAATTAGTTTATGTTCTTCAAAAAGCCCACGATTAATATAAGAATATGAAGCAAATGTAATAGCATCAATAAGATTATCAATTCGTATACGTAATTCTTCATTTTGTTCTGCACGATCAATAGCTTTAAGAAAAACTGCTCGAAATGCTTTGAGAGAAAATTGATACATAAGATGTATTTTTGATAAATCATTCATAATAAAATAAATAATACACGCACGTATAGCTGTTGGTCTATATAATTCTCGTGTTCGATCTATTTGTTGACTAAATTTTTCTGCTTCGACTTTCTTTTGTTCAATTTCAAGTGCAGTATTAACAGTACGTTCAAGTGTAACAACAAGTTCAACATTTTGAATAAAATTTCCTTCAGCAGTTGCTAAACGAGCTAATAATGAATCTTCTAATTTTTTTAAATTGATTTTATATTCATTTTGTTGTTTTGTTACTTCAAATTTACTCTTTTCTAAATCCGGTCTTTCAACAGCAACAATTTCAGCTAATAATTGTGCTTCAAGACCATCTCGTGTTGTACTAAAATTAATTAATGTTGTTTGTGCTTGTATTTCAGGTTGAAAATGTGGATTTGCTAAACGTGTTTGCATTATTAAACGAAAATTAGGATGATAATCAATTTCTTTATCACCAAATTTAACAGCTTGTCCTTTACGTATTAAATTTCGACTTATTATAGGTTCCAATATTGAATCAATATTTTCTTCAATACATTCAAGTAAAAGAATATCACCTCGACGTACACATGCTTCAACACGATCAAGATAACCTTTACTATTATAACGAAGTATAACTAATTTATCTGTAAAACAATTTTTAATCCAACGAAGTCCTTGTCCTTGTGGATCAACCATTAATGGCCATCGTAAACAATAAGTTAAAATAGCAGCATTTTCATAAGATGTTTGATCAGCTGGAAGTCCTTGATTCATCCTATTGAAATGGAATATGATCTATTTTTGGCGAAGTATACTACCATATGATTTACCATTCTGCAATATCAGCATCATCGATCATAATTGATAATGGTTGTAGATTAGCTCTCATTGGTATGACTCCCTAATCATATTATTAACGCGTTTGACATAATTCGAAAAATAATTTATAGAATTACTTTAGTAGCAGTAATAGTTGATCTCCATTTTTCCACAAGATTATTTCGATAAATTCGCGAAAAATATCCCGCATATGAAATAAATGTTGATGCTAATAGAACATCACCAATTAAAGTTTCTAAATCATGATTAAATGTTTCAACACGTTTTGTCCAAATAATTCGACTTGATGCAAGACCATCAACAAGACGTTCAGCTAAATCAATTTGTCGTGCTAATCTTTCTTTTGTTCGAACAGCATCATCTTTTTCAGCAAGTGCTCGTTGCATTTTAAGATTTTCTTCTGTAAGACAATCTTCAAGTATTTGTACACGATTGAGAATTTTTGAAAAAGCTTGTTGTGCTCGATTTAATTCTTCATTAGCAACATCTAAAGCTACTTGTTTTGGTTTAACTTCCAAATAAACTGTATGAAATTTTAATGTATCTAGTTATTACAAGATTTCAATAGTAGAAAGAATAAAATTCGATTTTTTTACTATCAAGCCATGTATAAATTCCACCAGCTGCTGCGGATTTAACTGCTATTTGTTGAATTAAACTTTCAATACTATCTGTTTTACTTATTTTCATTAATGTTGTATTCAATTTATCAATAATAGCTCGAACTTGTGGAGTAACCTAAAATACAATATATATATCATCCGATAGATAAAGTAAGAGACAATACTTTAGCGACTTGAAAATTCTTTAAACGTTGTAGAAATTTTTCAACGGGTCCAATTGTATTTTTCGCTTCCGTCCATGTTCGTTGACTTTCGGGAATAATTCGACCTTCATCAACCCATTTGAAAAGTACAACTAAAGAAGTAAATTTCAATAATTTTGAAATAGTATTTCATATTAACTTACCAACCATATTCATAACAAATTTAACTGTTTCTGGTGGTGATGCGAATGATTTTAATTCAGTTAATTGTCCTTTTTCAATATTCTCAAGTGCTAATCTTGCTGCCTCAAGAACAGGTTCTGCTTTAGCTCTATATTTAAGCATATATATATACGAAATTTTGTTTAAATGTATATATACAATTCTATTGCACAAGCAGCTTGTACTTTTTCAACAGCTGCTTTTTTTGTTTCAATTTTTCGACGTTCATCATCGGCAAATGACTAAATTTTATAGAATCAGATATTGTTTAATTCAATTTTTAAAAACAAACTTTTTCTTTAGCAACTTTTTCTGCTTCTGCAGTCACTATTTTCAATGCAATATCCGCTTTTTCCGCCTTTGTATTAACTTCCTCGGTTGTAATCTTTAAATCTTCTTGTAAAATAGCTGTTTGTGCAGATATTGAATTAAGTTTTTCTAATCCAGATAGAAGACGAACAATTTCAAGTTCGATTTTCATTTGTTTATTTTCATAAATATGTTGAAAAAATTTTATAAATTCAAGAAATGTTTTTGGTGTTGTATAATAAGATCTTCGTTCATTTATTAAATATTGTATTGATGTTTGATTAACATCAATATGTGTATCAGCCATGAAATTAGCGATAGAATAACGTAATTCATTTGATATTGATTTGAAACTATCAAGAAAACGAACAACAACTGAATAAAGTGCATCTCGTGGCCATGAATGAAACCAATCAATAATTGTTCCACTAAATAATGCTGGAAAACGACGTGCACGTGTACGTAATGTATTTCCAACAGGTGAAAAACACATAACTATTTTAAGATTTCGTCGAACTTTATCAATAAAATATTTCCAAATAGTTTCTTTTGATTCATTATATCCTTGAGATTTAGCTTCTGAATGTATAGAATTAAGAATTTCTTCAATTTCATCATCAGTAAATAAACCAAAAATTTCACCCGATGATAAATAATCATTAATATAAACAAGAAAATGTTCATCTTTAATATGACTATCAGATAAAAGAAATACACATGGAAGACCTTTTAAACCAGCACGACGATAAAGATTATTTAAATCATTTTTAAAATCATTTATTCCATAATTTGATTTAATTGTTATTTGAAAAATATCAAGTGAAGAAACAAATGCTGCTAAACGAGCTAAAGATTGTTTTCCACTACCACCAACTCCAATTAATAATGCATTGCCTAATTAAAAAAATTGTGACATCTGAAGATTATAAATGTGAAAATATTCCCAAGTTTAAAATACTGATAAATATCGTGTGCGGTATAGGGTGAGTGTGGGTCTTATACTCTTTTCGAGTGCATACCCACACCACAAGGGGGAAACCACGTAATCCCATCTACTGCCACATGCTCCCGGAGTACAAGAGTACAGCGGAGTACCGGAGTACGTGATTTCTCCGTTGTCCACCCCACACCCCACTCTCGTATCCATAACCACACCCACATTTTTGTGTACTCCGCAAGTACTCGGAGTACGTGGTTTCCACCTTGCCACACCCTCAAGATAGTTAACGAGTTGTTTCGACTATTGCGAACAAATGGTTGTTCCAAAACATAGAAAAAATAACAACAGAATGGCTCCATATTTAGTTGGAAAGTAGTCGTTTGTCGCGCATAATATTACTGAGTTATTATCTAACCCACTGACGGTATTATTCTTTATGCTGCACTCACTCTCAAGTCAATCACTTCTATTCAACGATCAAATATTTTGCCTGTGGCATAAAAATAATATCTATTGATTGGTAGATTTTCTAATTGTTATATACCTCGTGGTGATTCCAGAATACGATTAATACGAGCAACATGTATAAGAGCATCTTGAAATAATACTAAATTCATTTCAGGATTTGTTTCATTGTATGATACTAATGCTTCTTCAATTATTTTTTGTAATTTATCCATAGATGATACAGCTGTATATTGTCCATCACCGATTCCACCAGAAAAATGTGAATAAATAAGTGGTCGAACAAATGTTTCATCATTTACAAACTATGAAAAAGTAAATTTCCTTCTATAATAAACAAATACTATAGATAACAATACTTCAAAACTTTTTCGTATAGTTTCTCGTAAAATTTTATTAAATAAATCAATATCATCTTGATTAATAAGTTCATCTGAATAAGTTCTTTCAGCTTCATGTATATATAAACGTATTAAATCATTAGGATGTAAAATATCTTTTGATGAAGCAAATAACATCCCCTTAAAATACAATCAATTAAATATCTATTTTCTATACAAAAACAAAAACATTCGATTACTTGTATAATATTTGATAAATCACGTAGATTAAAAAGATAATGAAATTTAATAGCTGTTGGTAAAAATATACTGGATACACGTTGATGAAATTGTATAGCTATGGAAATAAATTGGCTGAGAAAATTTGTTTGTGTTTTAACATCAATTTTATTAAAATTTAAAAATTTTGTTTCAAGCATTTTAGAATAAATTGTATGAAGTGTATTCTAAACAAGAATCTGGTATTTTATAATTTCTTTTAGTTCAAAAATTAATTCGAACTTTATTTGGAAAAGGCACAGCAAATGTTGCAAAATGTCGTTGAAGACGTGCATCAATAGAAAATGTTCCAGCATTCTGATTCATTGCAATGATAAATTGACAATTTCGAATTTCTTTCAGTGTTAATTTTTGTCGATCATACCAATGTTGATAATCAAGATATTCACGAACAATTGTGTGTGCTTGGACAGTAAAATATTTATCACGTTCAGGCATATTAAAATCATCTATTAGATTAGAAATATTGAATGAAGTTATAAACTCAGATCAAGAAAATTTACCAATAAAATAAATCAATTGTCGATTTCCTGGTGCTCCATATGTTCGACCAGCTTTTTTTTCTAAAGGTTTTTCTAATGAATTTTGTAACATTTCACTTGTTGTATAATCTAAAAATATGTCGAAGTTTAACAAAAAGCATAGTTATCTTTTGTAAATTATACAATTTAATGGAATTGTTGAAATCATAAAATTTTGTAAATTATATTTTTCTAAACGATTTGTAATAATAACACTTTTACCAGTACCAGCTGAACCAACAAACATTACTGAAACACCTTTTTTTGCCAGTGCATCAAGCCAAAATGATAAACGAACAGTTTCACTTGTAGGAATCAATTGTGACTGGAAAAAAAATATTATTAATAAAAGACAAGTTAAAAAATGTTACTTGAACAGGTAATTCAGGATCAAAATTAATTTCATCAAGCTGTTTAGACCATGGTTCAAATCGTTTTGATTGAGGTTCAACTGAATAATCAAAAACAGTACCATGAGGAGGAAATTTAATCGTTTTAAATTCATGAATAAACCATTTAGAAAATTCAATTCGATAATCAATCATTTGATCTTGAAAAAGTGAACCACCAATAGCCCATATAGTTGCCCATACAAAATATAATTCCCACCATTCTTTTGGACAATCAGGAGGCACATTTTGTGGTGTTAATAGACAATCTATAATTTAAATAAAAATGACTTCATCAGATCTGGACAGATACTTAGATACGAATAGAATCTTGGGTGTGGGTGGGTATCAGATTAAGGTTAATGTAATACCCACACCCACACCCACCCTCAAAATCAATATCAACTAACCAAGTATATTGCATAACATTTGTATATGACAGACATCTACTAATGGAGTAATTGTTCTTACACGTCCACTTTTAAGTAATTCAAGACAACGTGGAATATATTTATCAAATAATAATAATAAATGATTTTTTTCACTATATGATTCACGTTTTTCCACCCAACTAACATAAACAGGTGAGTAACCAATATCATTTGTTGATACATATAAAATTCCAGCACGTGAAACTGTTGCTGGTGTAGCTGTTTTTAAATGACTTATTTCAAATAATAAACGCATTGTTTCATTTAATGGTATACGTTCATTACTAGCTAATGTAAGTACTTTATTATCATCCATAACTGTATTCAATGATTCAATCCACATTGGATCAATATCACCATCAAGTACAATCCATTTCGGAGCTTCGAAAACAAAAGAGAATATTTATTCTAATGAGAAAAAACAAATTTACAATCTGATGTCATATTAGCTAAATCTCGCATTATATTTGAAAATAATCCATCTTTCCATTCACGTGTTTGACGATGCATATAACCAAATAATTCATCATTAGTAACTGCTTTAGGATCCACTAAAAAAAATAAAGTCTTTTTCTTGTCTTCACAATTATTATCATCATTTTACGATCAATAGCATGTGGTCGACGTTTCATATTTTGATAAGTTTTAAATAATGTTTTCCAAATTTGTGTTTTACCTTAAAATAAAACTTCATCATCATTATCTAAACAAAATCTCATTTTTATAATACCTGTGCCAGCATTTCCAATGATAAATACTGAATGTCGTACATCAAAAATTTCTTTTAATTGAATTATTTTAAGTACAAAATTATTTTGTGCTGTTGGACTTGCTTCTTCAGCTTGTAAACGAAGATCAATAGCAGCTTCTCGAACATTATTTTCAAAATCTTGATTTCTTATTTAAATTAATTATTGTCAAGATTATTAACTTAATAAGTGATGAAATATTTTATACCTTTTTCTTTCAACATCCAATGCTGGAAATAAATCACCAATAAGATTAAGAAAAACAGGCATATCTTCGACAGTTATTTTTGGTATATTAAAATCTCGTAATGCTCTCATCAGTACTTTATCTTCACTCATTTCTGGATCAGCACGTCTTAATGTTCCAGCGACAACAAGTACTGATTTAATTGCACGTAACCCCCAATCATAATGTTCCTTTAATTAATTTTTAGAATCAAAATTAATATTATCTTAGAATAGACAAACTTGTTTTGATAATAAATCTCGACATAATGTATATAATGTAACAAATTTTCGACTTAATAAACGAGCATCTGTAAATCCGGCTGATACAAGATTTAATTCAGCTATATAAAAAGAGAATTTTTATTAACAAATATATTTTCATAAAACAAACCAATTAATTCAAAATCTGGTACAACCATTGCACATGGCCTAATTATTAAATTCCAAAAAAAAAAGATTTTTATCTTATTAAAATTTTTACCGAAATAAAGCTTTTAAATTTTCGGGTAGCTCAGTTCGACCAGCATAGCCAGGATTCATTGTAATAAATATTCCAACAGATGGATGAAGTTTAATTTCCGTGTTCATAAAATTAAATATTTTACGTTTAGCTCTTAATGCATCCTTTTGACAAAAAATAATAATAAATTAATCAATGACATATATATATATTTCTTACAAATATAAGTTTCACTTGAACAGCAACAACAGATAAAACTGCGATTGATATTCGATTAAATCTAATTTAGTAAACAAAATTAAATATGAAGAAAAATTAACTATTAAATTTTACTCATCAAAACATCCCCAACAACCACTAGAATAAATATTTAATTGTTACAAAAAAAATTATAACATAATGTATTTATACCTCATTGCTAATCCTTTAAAAGTATTACCAATCGATTTGTAATCAATTTGTTCCGAACAATTTGTAACAAATACACATACACCTAATGAACGACCGAGATCTAATCGGAAATTAACTTTTTATTTCAATTATTCTGATTAAACAATGATTGTTTTAACCTTTTGTAGTTTCAGTTTTACCAGTTCCAGCTGGACCTAAAATAAAACAAAAATATATTATAAATAGTTTTATTATGAATTATTCTGCAAACCAGCAGGAGCTCCACCAACAAATAAATGTAATGATTGTGTTAATGTTATATAGCATCTATAGATACAAAATACGATTTATTAAATGAAATGAACACTAAAAAAAAAGATGTCAGCAGTGGGAGTCGAACCCACGCCAGCATACGCTGACCAGAACACTCGACCTCACTGAGGAAGCATTACGCTTGAGTCTGGCGCCTTAGACCACTCGGCCATGCTGACGACAGGAATGATTGATTGTTATCTTATTTTGTTTCTTTCGAAGTGTATTCGAAATAAAAAAAAGAATGATTTTATCAATAGGAAAAAAAGTAAGAGAATGCAATAGGACGGATTCGAACTGAGTCATTCATTTCACGTAATATTTGTTTTTCAATAATTCTGTTGAATCATGTGCATGGATTAAACAGTTTCTGAATATTATATTACCTATCAGTTAATGGTGTAATGACCAATCGACTTTTATTACCTAAATATCTAAATATTATAATAGATTGTAGACTAATATTTCCATTGAAAAAAAATATAAATTCACTCATATTGATATTTAAATCTAGCATCACATATATTTGCATAACAGTTATTATCTTTTGAATCCCATCTATGTCTTAATTGTGATTGCCAAGTAAAATCATTACTATTTTCAATCTAAATAAATATTTTTATTCTAAATGAATTTTTTCTCTATAATTTTACTTTAAGATTAAGCATTTTTGAAACAACATCACGTGCATGAAGATCAATTAGACAAAGTGTAGTTATTTTTTCACGATCTTGATCATTTAAATAACTCAATAATAAATTAATAAGTGTATTCAATTGTAATATTTGTTTTTTATTATATTCACGTAATGCATTTGAAAAACCTTCTTCAATACGAGTAAACGTTCCATTGACATCTGTTGTCCACCTAATCATTAATTTTTCTCAAAAGACAATTCATTAAATTAATTTTAACTACTAACCATATTTGACTTGCAGTAAGAATAACTTGAGCTGGATAATCAAATATCCATTCTTCACGAGATTTATCCTATATGAAATTGTATTATTAGACAAGTAACGCTCGTCCGAGCGCTCGATTAACTCTTTCTCGTAGAAATACATTTTCTTCACATTTACTGGAAAAACAACTGAAAACCGTGAAAAATCGGCTTTCGATGTTTTTTTGACCTTGCGGACACACAAGAAAGCAATCAGACAATTTATGTTTACTGGACTCTTCTCTACGAGAAAGAGAATAAAGCATTTTTATTCGTTATGAGGGTGTAGGTATCAAGACCCATTTTTTTGTGGATACGAACTTTTACAATTTCTCATAATTAGATAACATACTTCATATGCAGTAACAGCAACTCTTAACCAATTTCTAATTGTTTCACAATGAAAATCTAATAAACGTGATAACCAGATTTCCACAGCACCTTCAAGATTACAATCAGTAAAAAATTTCACTCGTTCACCATCATCCGAATACACTACAATTATTTTGCGAAAAAAAATTATTGATACTATCAAAGCTTTACTAGCATAAGCCATTTTAAGTTTATTTCCATTTGAATCATCATATAAATCTAATTTATTTAAACTATCAAATACTTTCTTCAGTAATCGCATAACTTTTTCAGGTTCATTTCCATTTGATAAAAATTCAAGTAATTCCGAACCAGATACAAAGAAAAATCTGAAATGAATAATATATATCAATTTATAATAATTTTCAATCTACCTTGGAAATGCAAGTCGTTTAATTTCTATTTAAAAACAAAAATTGAAATAATAAATAAAATATAATAATAATATACCTAAATAATCTTCCAATGCTTTTTGACATAATTGTAAATTATCTTTCATTTTCTCCAATTGTTCATATAAACCCGGACGATTAGTACAACGAATAAAATTTAAATCAGCTTCATTTTCTTTTGATATTATCTATAAATATATAGTTCATACATAGATATTTGAATGAGATCAAAGTTGATATTAAAAACTAACTTTAAATTCTTTATCAATTCTATCGAAAGCTGTTGTTTCTTGTGGTAATTGTATTCTAATATCATCAGTACCAATGAAAATTGCTTCTAAATTTGACCAATTACGTTGTACATCTGTTAATAATTGTAAAACCATATCAGCTGTAGACATTTTACTTTTCCATGTAATAACATTATCAATAAAATGTGATATAAATTTTGATGAAAGTAATGTTTGTAATTGTGTTTGATGTTCATCTAATGCAGCAATAATATCATCATCTATTGAGACAAGTGTTACATTTGTACGTGGATGTTTTTCAATTTGAAAATTCATATTTGACCTTAATATATATGTATTTATTTTATGACAAAAACGAAAAAAATGAATTTTACCAAGTATTTTCAAGATCAGTTAAAATTTTTTCCATTCCCTGTTCTTTAGTTGCTTTATCAACAATAATTTTTACCTAAAGATTTAAATTTTCAGACAAAATATTTGAATTTATAAAAAAAAGACCTCATCTTCATATTTATGTAAATTAAGACCAAGTAAATCTTCCAGACTTGTTTCATCAGTCATATCAATTTCAACTCCTGTTTCTTTCATTAATTCTTCCCAATGTCGTAATCTTATAGCATTATTACGTAATTCTCCTACTGAACGTAATGATGCAAGAAGATTTTTAACATCTTTTTCAATTTCATGATATGCATTCCATTGATTACATTCTTTACCAAGTAAACGTAATTCTTTATTTAAATACGTTCGTCGTAATTCTTGATCAATTAATTCAATATTCACTTGTTTCCATGGAGTTTTTGTCCATTTATCAATACGTGAACGAATTAAATAAATCAAATCCCATAATTGTTTCAATGGTCGCATTTCTTTACGACATAACTGTACACTAGATCAAAAAAAAATAACTGTTAGAATCACAAAGATAGTGGGCGAAAATATCTATCTCTAATTCTTCAGTATTAGTTTTAATAAAGGAATATTTTATGTATCAGAAAATTAGATGATTAATTACATTTTATATTCAGGAACATTAATATCAAATATTCGAGCAAGATCAGTTAATTGTTGAACTTCTTGATCAAATTGACGTAATTGTGTTGCCCAATAATTAAGTTCTAGAATTCATTATTCATATAAGAAAATATTTAAATGTAAACATCTTAAGGGTGAATGTGGATCAAGGGGAAAACAGCTGATTAGGTAACCGCTAATCATTATTAAGAGACCGGATGGGTCTGTGAATAAAAAGAATAATCGCACCCACATCCACTCATCATTACTAATCATATCTAATCAAATAATCAGCTGTTGCCTCCTTGGTGTGGATTCTTTCTATACCGACATTCACACTCATCCGTCTACAATCGATGTTTTTCAAACTGAGAGCGTTTCACAAATATCTAGTTCTCGTCAAAATATCTCCTTTGCAATTCTTACCCACATAAGGTTCTTTTGTATTATATTTAAATGGTGCATCTTTTGAAAATCTATCTCTTAATTCTTGTTGTTTTTTTTTCCATATCAATAATTTGATTACGAATATTAGTAACTTGATTTGCTTGTAATGGTGCAATTTGTTGTTTCATTTGTGTTGCCATTTTTTTAATAATAATCCATTGTTCTGGTAATTCATCTAACATAGCATAAATAGATTGTGGTACTTCATATGCATAAGATTTAAGTAGTTCAATTATATCTTTAATTGGTTCAGCCATATCATCTGTATATTCTTGTCGAGCACGTACTTGACTTAGAAATGTCATCATATCAATTAATTCTTTTAAATTATCGGAATTAACTGGATGTTGAAGCATATCTGTTGCATGTTTAATAAATAATTGTAATTCATTTAATGAAATAGTTATATGATCAATTAAATAATTTTTATATCTATATATGGAATTTTAATTAAAGACAAAAAAAAAGACAAAAGAAATAATCATACAGATTAATCCATTTAGTAACAAGTGTAAGTAATTGTCGTTTAATAGGTCGAGCATCAACTCTTAACCAACTATTAAAAAGAAAGGTCTGATTCCAGTTATCAATATCGTTATAAATTGATTGAAATAAATCGATTTCATTTTGAAATTGAATTAAATTTGGTGGATTTTCTTTAATTTGTTCAACATTCTCTAATTCATAATCTTGTAAATTTTAAATTTTATTTCGAAATAAAAAAAGTAAATCAAAATTACCTTCAAGTAAACGACCATAAAGAAGAAATTGTCTCATATGTTCTTTTCTATCATCAAGCCATAAATATGAATTTTCTTCTACTTCATCTTTCCAATCATTTGCTTCTTTCATTGTATCACGTAATCGTTCCATAATTTTTAATCGTTTATCATTTAAATTTTTCATTTCTTCTAAATCATTCTATGAAAAAAAATTTCTTATATGTTTATAAAAATATTCTTTGCATTACTTGATAATGTTTTTGTCCAGAATGTTCAGCAAGACGAGGAAGCATAGCAGCTTGTCGAAAGATATTACCTATTAATGTATCAACTATATCATAAAGACCATTTGTACTACCAAATTCAAGTGTTGGATTAAAACGTAAATCAAGATCCTTGAAAAAAAATTTAAAAAAAATAAAAATAAAAATCTTCTTTACATCTAATATAAGTTGAACTTCAAATAATGGACGTTTATTAAGTGTAGGATCAGATTCTTCAAGAAGATAATTAAGATTATATTCAATTATTTCATAAAGTGATTCAATAATCATTTCATCAACATAATCAACATAAGATTTCCACATATCAGAATCAGCATCAGCTTTTAATAACCATTTATTTTGCTAAAATCAATACAATTTAGTCAAACGGTAAGTGTTGTCGAAGATTCAAAACTCCGCGTTTTCTCGATTTTAGTCTATAGATGAAAGGTGGATGCGAGTTGACTGATGAACACCGAAGTCTTCAACCATACACGCGCCCACCCACCAACACCCACACCCACACCCATACTCACGCCCTTCAAAATTCAGAATTGCCGACCAATCGAACTAAATCATGATCATCAACTTGAAATGTATTTATCTTACTTTAAGAATATCTTGTAAACGTAAACCAACATCTGTTAATTCATTATTTCTTTTGAATACTTTATCTTCTTTTTCATAAACTATAAGTAATGGATCTTGTCGAATTTCACCGCGAGAATATAATGCAGATTTAATAAAACGTTTGAGTAATTTTTGCATATCGTCCAAATTCGATTTACTTTTAAATAAACGTTCTTCAAAATCACTTATTCGTACTCGAAGATGACGAATAAACTCAGTAGAATCTTAAGAAAATTAATTGATATAAATTGATTTTATAAAAACATACCTGTATTAATATCTAATTTCATTATTGTACTCGCTTTTTCTAAATCATTTTCAATTATAGTTAATTCATCACGAATTAATGGATATTCAATAATAAGAATACTATCAAAGATATGTCCGTATGATTTTGTAATATAATCTTAAGATAAAATCATTTATTAATTTTATTAAAATTAAAATTTTACCAAGATTAATAAATTGTTGTTGAAATCGATCTATATGTTGATAGAATTCTTCAGTGTCTGATGAATGTATAAAATATGGTATTTGATAAAGACGCATGACTTCTTGTAAAGCTGTAACAAGCTATAAGAAAAATAAATTTTATAAAGCATAGATTTTCGCAATTACTTGTGGTTGAATATTAACAATATAATATTTATCTTCTTTTCGAAGAAGTGGTTCATTTAGATGAAGAAGATTTTCTTTGATAAATGAATCAATCCATTGTTTGTTTGTATTTTCAATGAAATCATCTAATTTTTTCTGGAAATTCTTTTCTTGTTCTAATAGTCGTTTATAAATATCATTATCTTTAATACTGAAATTATTTTATTAAAATAATAAATAAATAAAAAGAAGAAGAACGTTTTTTTACTTAATATCAATTGTTTTTAAAGGTTCTATTTGATTTTTAATACGTTGACGTAATTGTTCAATAAATGTATAATCAGAAATTAATTTTGGCATTGATAATAACCATGCTGATTGTGAATCTTTTGTATATTCATCAAATAGTGTTTGATTTTCATTCAAAATATTTTCAATTATATTCAAAAGTGTAGATGTATATTCATTAATAACAATTTTAAGTCGATTTCTTTTTAGAGTTGATCCAAAAATACGAAGTAACTAAATTTAATTTATTTATTAATATGTTTACATTAGTTGTAAACAAACTCGATATATATTATCAATATTAATTGTTTTAATATCACTGTTACACGGTTGAAAATAGCGACGTAAAATATTTGCAATACGTTCATCACTAGTTAAGACAATTTTACAAAATGTCTTATAAGCATTAGGAAATTCAAGATTAGAATCATTTGTAATATCATCAGATAAACCTATATGAAATGTTATTATTCAAAAAAAAAACGTTTTACATTTCTATTTTACCACGAAATACAGCATACGCTGATTTAATATCTCCATGAACTCTTTGTAAAATGGTTTGTAATTCATCTGCATCAATACCACCTAATTCAATTAATTCATATATAGAACATTCTTGTACAGTTGATATTATATCCTAAAAACAATCAAATACATTTATTTTTCATAGAATTTATCTTGCTTTTAGCATTTTAATACGATCAATAAAATGATCACATCGTTCAAAAATTTTTGATTCTGGAATTTCCCAATAACGGATCTAATAAAATAATGATCAATTAAACAACGAGACTTTCAAGGGAAGGTACCGCGGTGTGTTCCCGAGTTAAAGGCTGATATTATGTGGGTTTGCTACACTAAGTGCCCTGATGTCAAATATGAAACAATGATCGGCTGCGGCCGGACCACTGAAAATAGTACTCAAAATATTCTGTCACTATTTCATGTATATAGGATGCCTTTTCAGTCTCGAAACTCGATAAAATGAATTTCTATGTTGAAAAATATTCAGTCCTAACCATAAGTATCTGTATCATCTTTGAGTACGTGCTTGAGCTGTGTAGAAACTAAAAAGACATCCTATATACATGAAACAGCGACAGAATATTTTGAGTACTATTTTCAGTGGTCCGGCCGCAGCCGATCATTGTTTCACATTTGATATCAGGGCACTTAGTGTAGCAAACCCACGTAATATCAGCCTTTAACTCGGGACCACACCGCGGGACCTTCCCTTGTTAGATAAACTCTAACCTGACGATCATTAAAATACGTTGGTAATAATACTTTATAATGTTGATAAGATTTTTTATATAATAAACATGTTTCAAGTGCTAAATTAATCAATTGAATAGGTTCATCAAAATCTGTTTCAACAAATAAATCATTCGGTTGAAGTAGATCACGTATCTATAAAATCAATTATTTTAATCTATTATAAGATTCTTTTACTTTTAAAATAATCAAATTTGTCCATTGTTGTAAAAATCCAATAAATCGGTTTATATTTGTATAATAAACTGAATTAGCCCATACTAAAGCTATTGTATGAAATAATCGATCAAAATATAATGATAATGATTCAATATTTTGAACTTTTTCAATTAATTCAAATATGGATACAAGTGGTTTTAAATATAAAGCAATATTTTGTGCTTCCGCTAATGCTTGAATAACATCACGAAATATTGTACGAAATGCAGAGAAATAATTCGATCCAGAATTTTCAAGAATTTCAACAAGACGTCGAATTATTGATGAATGCATCTATTCAATTTGTTTTTATTATTAATTATTTTTTTTTCTTAATTTTTTACATACTTGCGTTTGAATTCCTTGTAAATTTTCTGCTCTTGCAATCCAAAAGTCGATTTCAATATTAGGTAATAGATTATATTGATTTTTTGGTGGATCTGAATTATAATTAATTGCTGTTTGAATTTGATTTTTCCAAGTCATTATAAGATTTTCTAATAAACGAATTTTTCGATTATCAAATGTTTTATTTCTAATATAAAATAAATTATTTGATTAATGAATGAAGTTAAAAAAATTATAAATAGATCAGTCATCTTTGCTCTCAAGTATACCGTAGATTGGCGAGAGCTATTATCATAAAACTATGAACGAAAACGTTGATAATAGACTTCATCATAGTTCTATTTCGTATTATTTGAAATATAGACTCAATTTTTAACTTTAAAATAAACATCTCTTCGACTTATTTTATAATGACTATCGAGATTAAAAATTTCTTCTTACTGACTAAGTACACGAAGATAATCAGATCTTGATAAAAATTCAATTTCATGAGGTATTGATAAGATAGTTCGTCCTCGAAGTATTCCATTTACTATTGTTAATAAATTAGTTAATTCCGATACATTTTGTATACAATTTCGAATGACAATATCAGGCCAATCAGATATTATTTTTCGTTGTTGTAATATAGGCCATAAAATCTATAAAAATATTTAATTCCTTTTTTGTTTTTAAATTAATTCAATCTACTTCAGATATAAATAAATGTAATTGTGTCATAGATGAATGTGTAAATTCTGCAATAGCAATTTGTTTTTTTAATGGAATATCATTTTCAATAATCATTTCATTTCGTTTAATAAAACAAATTATTTTCGATTTAATTTCAATTGGAAATTCAGTTAAAATACTTAATGAATCAGAATTTTCAAAAATAAGTATTATATTACGATCAGATTTATCAAGAAACGATTCAATTAATTTACGATTTATTTCATTGTTAAGAATTGCTAGAAATAAATCTTATTATTTAAAATTTTAGACTAAAAATAAAAACACCTGTTTTAAATACTGTTGGTGTTGTACCAAAAACTATATTGAGATATGATAGAAAAAACCGGAATCGTTGATCTTCAAATTCTGTATCATCCGTAGAAATCTCTATTTCACCAATATCACTTGAAAGGGAACCACGTTCATTGATACTTTCACTCATTGTTATAAATAATGCAAATGATATAATAGCGCCTTTTTCTTGAAAATTAATTTATAAGATAGATTATTAATATGATGCTTAATGCAAGAAGTGTCGCAAAAACACGATTTTGACTATGGATTTTTGTTGATACTGATCATTAACTATTTTTAACGGTATATGTGAATTCAGTGTATAATATTGTACTTTTCCTTGAGAGTATACATGGTAATAAATCGAAGTACAACATAATATTCACTCTTTAATAGTTTTTCTTTGAATATTTTTCTATCAGTTTTATTAGATAACAGGTATATATTTATTTTCATTTTTATTTGAACAATTTTCCAAATGATCATTCCGACGTACAACAAACGAATACCAGCTTTTCTTCAACGAGTACATCATAAAACAACCTCAACATCGTCATTTTGTACATATAATCTAATATTTATTAATCTATAATATTACCAAGATATGGAACCATTCTGCTGCGCGAAAATTAACAACAAGAAATGTATACATAAAGATGAATAATAAGATAACAAAAAAAAAAAAAAAAAAACATATATCAATTGTATAAAAAAAAATAACACATTAATTCATGGGACTTGTCCTATTATAACCATTATTTAACTTTTGATTAATGGTGGAGAATTAGAGTCCGATGAGGCAATTTCCACGTTTTTTTTCCGTTCTTTGTCAAGTTCCATTTCCAGTTTGTTGATTTTTGTATCCATCGTTTCGATTGTTTTCACATATTTTTCGAGCCAGCTTTTGAGATTACCCAGGTCAAACAAGCGCGATCGTAAACGATCATACTTTTCCGTATACGATACGGAGACATACGATCGTAAAACGGCCGCAGGTAATACGGCAGAAAACGGTGAAATACGATCGTATATGGTCGTATTTTTTCTGGATACGGTCGTATTCAATCGTTTACGAAGTTCGTAATAATCGACCTGGGTATAGTCACTTGTTCCGTCAAGTTGACCACTTGTTGCTTCAAATTCCTTATTGTTTCGTCTTTATTTTCTTCATGATTGTTCTAAAAAAAACAATGAATTTTTAAAAAAATATTATTTTATTTTTGAATATATTTATTTCTTTTTCTTCTCTAATTTTTAAAGATTTATTATGACTAGAGCTCGCCATTTTAAATCTGTGTATGAACAATAATACTGTTTAAATGTAAGATTAATATTATTTAAATATACGATCGATATTACCTATAAATCTGAAAGAAAAACATGATTTATTTAACAATTTACCTTAGAATAACTCATTTTTTATTTTGATACTAACAGCAGAAACTCATATATTTATAGATAACAAACAAAGATCAGACAGATGAATATGATTTCTTTGTGATGATTGCATATAAAGAATTAATTTGTATCGTCCAATCGGACAACGTATAGTGATATCACCTTTTCACTCATTATGTAAATTTAAGAAAATGGAAACTTGATTTTAGATTGATTGATAATCGATTCAATGGAACTCAGTGCAAACAAAAAATCGTTACACGTAATAACACAAGTAACGCTCATTCGGAGATTCGCTTAGCTCTTTCTCGTACAAATCTATTTTCTTCATATTTACTCAAAAAATAAATGAAACCCGTGAAAAATCGATTTTCGAAGTTTTTTTGATCTTTGACCCCTCTTCACTCCTGTCCCTCCACACGGTCACCCAATAGTCCTCGGATTCGAACTCCCCGTATCGAAAAACCTATAAAAATATCTTTTTCGAAAAATCGGTTTTCAATGTTTTTTTGACCTTTCACCCATCCACTCATCGTGATCACCTAACAGACCTCAAATTCGAACTCCCCGTATCGAAAAACCCCTAGAAATGTCTTTTTCGAAAAATCGGTTTTCAATGTTTTTTTTGACCTTTAACCCATCCACTCATCGTGATCACTTAACAGACCTCAAATTCGAACTCCCCGCATCGAAATACTTCTAGAAATGTCTTTTCCTGAAAATCGATTTTCAATGTTTTTTTGACCCTGCGGACAGACAAGCAAGCAAGCAAACAATTTATTCTTACTGGACTCTTCTCTACGAGAAAGAGAATAATCGATTCAATGGAATTCAGTGCAAACAAAAAATCGTTATACGTAATAACATAATATAACGAAAATTACTTAAATATCATTAAAATAAGTATCCATATAATAAACATGACATTTTTTTAATAATACTACCCTTATTATTAATATCAACTATTGTATTAACATTTCTTTTTCACATTTGTAAATTGCTTAATTTCTTATTTAATTGCGAAGAAACCAAAAAAAATACAACATAAGACTATGAATCAAACAACTTACTACAATCGTAAGTTTAATATCTAGTAAATGATATGCTTTTATATTATTTTCTCTAGATTATTATTCAATCATCAATGATAGAAAGAAAAATAAATATAAACATAATATATATGTATTTTATATTCTCTATTAACAAAATGGATATTATAATTAAATGGATATTATAATTAAATTGATATTAAAAATTCATTTTCTTTTGGCCATAACTTGATATAATTGCAAGATATGATTCGAATCTATTTATCATTATAATATTTTTAATGTTAGTGCTTGAAGTACTTCTCTATATTCTATATATGCCTTTAAACCACTTGTTATCTACATGTGTTTACGATTATTATTTAGAGTTGACCTGTACGATGACTATTAAGAAAATCTAAAATAATGTTAAAACTCATCTAAATACTAAAGTTTTTCAATTTTTCTGATATTTGTGGCTATAATTTTTCAAAATAAAAATAAACACATTTCAAATTCGCAATATTATTGTATTGGAAAATGATGGAAGTAAAACGACATTTATTTCAGAGCTTTTTTATTGAAAATTTGAATAAAACATAAATTATAAATGAAAAAGCTTGATTAATTGATCAAATAAAAATGAAAATATTTATGGAAAACGTCCTTGATTGAAATCTTCTTCTTCTTTTCGCTCATATTTATCAGCACGATTTTCATATTTATCAGCTTCACGTTGTTCATGACTTCTTTCTATATCTCGAAATTCACCTTCAATTTTTCCTTCTTCACGACGAATAGCATTGAAAAAACCTGGTTCAGGAGCACCTTCACGTTCCATATTGATGTATACGTTTATTTTTTCTTTACAATAAATAATCTACACATAAAATATCCTCCTTTATATACGGCAATACTATTATTCACCTTTATACATCATTATGATTATTATTAAGTCACTGACCAGGCTTCGTAGTCCTCCTATATTTCCTATATTTCCTATATATTTAAAAATGCTCCTATAAATTCCTATTTTTCATGCATTTTTCCTATATTTCCTATATTTCCTATATATTTAAAAATGCTCCTATAAATTCCTATTTTTCATGCATTTTTCCTATATTTCCTATATTTAGAAAAAATTTATCTTTTTCAAATGAAATATATATTTTCTCGATCAGCAGCAACGCAGAGCTTCTGTACATATGTCATTACTTAGGTCTGACCAAAAGTTCGTGCACTTTAAAAACAAAATATAAAGATAAGGAGATATTTTTCATTTTATTTTATCAAATGTTGAGGGTACTTGCCAGTATTATTTATATTAAGTTCGATTCTTTCTAACAATTTGTCAAAAGTTTTTTTTGAAGTCTTTTTCGAAAAAAAATTTTAGGTAACTTGAGAATCGCATGAATTAATCATGTTTCATCTATTTAATCAGTTAAACTACGTTCGATAGAATTAGTTAGCCAAAAATTACATAGTATCAGGCCTGGCGAATGTGATGGATATGAGATTATATTTATGTCTTTTCTGTTATATAAATAATGATAGTGGATGAGTATGAAGTCAGCGATGGTCTTTAATCATTTTTGTATATTTTTAACCTGATGTCTGAGTTTGTTTCCATATTTCATTGACAAAAGGGTTCAGATAATTTTCAGTATCATACTTGTGACCTACAGTCTTGACTTTATCTACACAATGTATAAAAACAGGACCATTTGATTTAAAGAATATACCAAACAAAGTTTGGGTTAAAATTTATCTGCATGAACAATAGTCTCTGACGATTCATCTTCAACAAGCCAGCTAGCATCAAATGACTTATAAATAACCTATATAAAATAAATCGATATCCCATTACTAGTAATGCTAGAACGCAATTGGCATGATTCAACTAAATTTCGCTAAATTTTTAAAAGATATGAAACATGATTAATTCATGCGGTCTCCAAGGTACTTAAAATTTTTTTTCGAAAAAGACTTCAAAAAAAACTTTTGACAAATTGTTAGAAAGGATCGAACTTAATATGAATAATACTGGCAACTATCTTCAACATCTGATAAAATAAAATGAAACATATCTCCTTATTTTCATATTTTTTCTAAAAGTGCACGAACTTTTGGTCAGACCTAAGTAAATTCAACTGAGACCATATCTTCTTTTAATTATTTTCGAATTAAGCTTTTTAAATATTTTCTCCAGTAATTAAAAAGTGTATATTTGTTTCTGATTTCTTGGCAACTTTGAGTAAGATAGCTAGTTATGATATTATGAGCACTAAGCAACGTTTGATATAAGTCTATTATAAGCGTATTACTGAAGAAAAAAATTCCTATATATTTCCTATATTATTATGAAAATCCTATATAAATACTACTTTTAAAATCCTATATTTTCCTATATCCTCAGGATGGGTCGCTACGAAGCCTGTATTATTAAGGCTTACGCCATCAATCCAAACTCAAGGCAAAAGCGTATTTAAATACCTTATTTTTTTATTTAATGTTTAACCAATCACAAGCAAGCACAATATACATGTTATTATGTTTTTGACAATAAACAAGAATATATTTAAGATGAATAATGATAAATTGCGTATAAATTTTAATGAAAAACAAGAAAAGAATTATGAAAATGATTCATACAAAAAATAAATTTAACATTCTATTCACTATTTCTAATATGTATTTCTTTATCTCTCAAATGACATTAATG